GTTTTGTCGTTTAATTATTAAAAACGTTGTTTTGTTCCCCCCCCCCCAACAATGGAGGGGGAAGACCTTATGGCCGAACGTATAACATTCACAAACAAGTACATGTTCGTTTCATAGGCAGTTTACTGTGTACGCAAACTGTCGTTAGTGGCTTTGTTACTTCTCACCGCGTGGTGTGGGACGTGAATGAGCAGTAGTGGGGCCAAATTAGTTCACATTTTAATAACTTCAATAAAAGCAACATTATTGGGTATCGCGTTACTTGCGCTGAGTAGAAAGTACTAAGATGTAGAAGTGTAATTAAGACAGTGTTGATCCCCTCCGGGCGAAGTCAGCGTTCCATAGCGGGGTACAGAGGAGACGAGCCATCGAACGCCACGTGTGTTCATCGGTGTCTAATACGTACTAATAATCGGCAAATTATAAAAAGATAACAAATACTACCTTAAAGTCAAGTGATATTAATATTGCATTATGTCCAGGGTAAGTTAGTTTGTAATATTATAAAAAAAAACGTAACTGCTTAAAATTTGACGAAACGTGGATAAATACAGAGTCAAACTATATGATGGTAAATCTGTGGGTGGGTGGACGGTGTACAGGCGAGGTTGTACAAACATGATAAATATCATTGTAGCTTGCTTCGTCGTTAATACAATATGAGAAATTTAAGGGCATTGTTTTGTACCCTCATCATAATACTACGATTAAACCAACACTAGTTTTGGAGAGGGGAATTATATTTAATTTACGATGTGATGCGTGTTTTTGTGACGGGCGGGCGGGCAATCATCAATTTTGACTGTAAAGCCGGAACATGCATGGCCGGGATGCATCACTAACGTCTCGGTTGCAAACAAACAACAATTTCGGATCAAGACACTGCATGTCCGATATTCACACGATCATAAATAGTATTTGCTTAGTCAATTGTATCGATTATAAAGACTACGAATTCAACAATCCACTAGGTGATATAGTAAACGTTATAAACAGAACAACTACTGATATCTAAACACCTTGCAACAATCGGGTAAACTAACAAATTAACTTCAAAGTTGAATCAATATTAAAACTGTTGTTATAGGAGACACTCTGTTCTTCGTCAGAAATGCGTCCTGTTGTCTTTCATTTAAATATGTTCTCACATTTTATCTGTTATCGGAAATTTTATTTCTGTTTGCCGTGGATGCAGAACGCACAGAATATGCTGTACAATTGATAAGCCCGAATGTCGAACAGTTGGCATGAAAGAATTGCCAACACCTAGTGTTGGTATAGTCCCCTTCCGATTGAACTAGCCGTCACTCACAATTAGTTGTTAATCTATCTCATCTGATAGCATAGTTATGAATATAAATCGATCTTATCTGAACTTGACGCTTTACAAATTATTGGCATCTTAGATGCGAGCACGGTGTAAGATGGCATCGTTGTGGTTTCTATTTGTTAAGTTATTGTTTGTTTATTTTTCGAGTTCTTCGTAAGTCAATTTCGACGGAACTTGTTTGATATAATGAGAGAAGTTAGTCAACGACAGACGGCTGTTCTCTGATAAATAAATAAATACTAGACTCGAATACGTAATGCAATCGTGTGTCTGTGCGTCACTGTACCAGCGACAGATGTGTCATCGCAACCGCCTGCTACCATTACTCACGGGACGAACCGATAATATGAGACGGGTAGCGGAAATTGATGACATTCGGCTCATTGTCAAGTCTAGAGGCTATATATATACATACGAAGATGTTAGGTAGTCCACTTTTTAGTTAAATCGTGAATGTGGGGTCATGTTATGTCGCCAATCAGACAGCAGTGATCCGAATACATGAATTATTGAACTGATAACGGACCAGATACACTGTTGCCTA